GGTAGTACGTAGTAGTAAGTAGTAGAGAGAAGGAAGGAAGGTACGGTTGGTTAGTTTAGTTTGTTCGTTAGTTTAGTTGTAGTAGTACTCTACTTACTTACTTACTACTACTACTACTCTCTCTCTCTCTCTCTCTCTCTCTCTCTCTCTCTCTCTCTCTCTATATATATATATATAAGATCATGTCAACCTATGGCGGGGTGGAATAATGTAAGCCCAACAGTTCCGATTGAATTGAATATGGGCCGATTTGATGGTCAAAACTACATTTCGTATTTGAATTTTAATCTTTTTTCTACAAATCCAAATTACTTGAAATTTGGAGCATCCACTCTTCTCATTTAGGCCTACCTAATAAAAACATTTTAAAAAATACTTCATAAAAAGTAAATTGACCAAAATACCTTTCAGGGGGTATTTTGGTCAATTTATTTTTGGAATTATCTTTTTAAGATTTTTATTAGATTCACTTATTTTTTAATAGTAAAAGCTCTAACTATCAAGTAATTTAGCTTTGTACAAAAAAGTAAAATTCAATACAAAATGAAATTGTGACCATTGGATTGGCTCATATTCAATCTGGGTCGTTGGACATTTACTGTACAGTTAGTGGGCTGACCTCAACAACTCCCATATATATATAAATATATATATAGGAAGAGACTACACAACATCTATGGGCGAAAATGAACAGTATTTTCTCCCATAAGCTGGGTGTCGTCCGATTTTTTCAGACGGTGTGGATTAAAAGACCGCCATGGACCTAGCTTGTCTGTGGCGGTACCGTCACGGACATAGCATGTCCATGGTGGTACTTTTTCATGCAAAAAACTATGGGCAACCGCCACGTCTCCTATAGATCCATCACGGACATAGCATGCCCATGGCGGGGAGAAATAGAGAGAGAAAGAGAGAGATTTAAGATTTTATGAGAGAGAAAGAGGATAGGGTATGTTTTCTCTCATGCTCCTCCTCAAACTTCACCCAACATCCTTGTTCTCCCACACAAGCTCATAAATCCCAACATAATTACAATATGAATCTCCAATTAGTTGTACAGAATCTTGCATAACTTAATTGCAGCAACATGGTTTTTCCCATCCGGTACAAAATCTACATACATGATTTAAACATTTCATATAGTGGCCCCCAACACCAGGAGAAATTTTGGTTCTAATTAGACTAAGACCAGGTAAAGGGACAGTCATGATACCGGTAATAGTTACATGGATGACATGGCAAAGAGGAAAGACACAGGAGTAAAGTTGGCAGGCCTAGATAACATCCATGTGAAGTTCCTAAACAAAGTCACATCAAGACTACACCATTAGTATTCTCTATTCTTTTGTTTGTTCTGAATGACTACACATATTTTATAAGTGGTAGCATGTGTTACCTAAGTAAAGCAAGCCCGAGATGATAAAGCAATGTTATTTTGCCAACTGCATCTCGCATAATGCTGTTATACCCACCCCCTACTACTGGTAAAACAGTCCAGTAAGAGGTATGCTTCCTATCTTCACAACCTTTGCTCGCGCATTCTGTTCATTGTTCCATCAAGGGTTGCAAAGACAATTTTTGAATGATACTACTTAAAAGGGGAAAAAAAAAAAACAGAAGCCTCCTAGCAAGAGTTAAAGAGGATCAAAGGGGAGGAAAAAAAGAAAAAAAAAAAGTTCATCAGTTCTTAGGGGTGATATACTCTGCAAGAACAGAGACAGGGGGATTACTTCGCAAGACTAATTAATGTTGTGACCGCCATCTTTAGACACTTCTTAGTACAAGACCCACTTAATACAATAAGATGGGTAAGAAATGGAACTGAAAGACTGGTTTCATAAATTGGCTTGAGAACATCGTAGAGGAGATTCAAGTATTGTATATACTCTGCAAGAAAAGAGAAAGGGAGATTACTTCGCAAGACTCATTAATGTTGTGACAGCCATCTTTAGACACTTCTTAGTACAAGACCCACTTAATACAATAAGATGGGTAAGAAATGGAACTGAAAGACTGCTTTCATAAATAGGCTTGAGAACATCATAGAGGACATTCAAGTATTTCATTGGACGTTTTATTCCAACATGTGCATAGGAAAGTATTTATTTTTATAGTAAATATAAAATAGTATACAATAATATTGTATTGTAAATATCTATTACATAAATAAAATGTATTACATATTATACAAATATATATTAATAATTTAAGTATAAAAATGTTATATATAACATAATATATATTATATAGAATATTTTATATTTATTTTATTAATGTATATTTCTATTATATATAATATAAATATGAATATAAAATATATATATAAACAAAAATATAAATTAACAATATAAATATAAGGAGAGAGGCAGAATAGGGTTTGAGGAAGAAGCCCTCTTCGAGGGCCAAGTTCCTATTTTAAGTTCCATCGTTTTAGTCGAAACTTTTCTTCTTACGCACAAAGGAGTAAGGAAGTTTTGGGGGAACTTCTTTACTGTATAAGTTTTGTGCATCAAACACGGGAATTGTACAGTAATGGAGAAGTTCCTTCTTCCTCCCCTTAACTTCTTGTTATCAAACAAGCCTTGAGAGTATTTGGGAAGAGTTTGATATGAAAATAGAAGAGAAATATGAAACGGAAAAAAATATGATGGACAAAAAGCTCTACCACTACTTTAAAGCTATAGCACCTTCGATGCAAGATAGCTTCGACTCGTATCACAAAGAAAATAAAGATTTGACTAAAGGATGTGTGAAGAATATCTTGATGCTAGATTATTTGTTATCACCAATGTTTAAAAAGCGGATCGGTGACTCGGATCAGGCACCTCAAAAACCGATCCGGATCGGCGAATCGGCGATCCGGATCGGGAATCAGCTGAATCGGTCGGATTAAAGCTTCAAAAAAATCCGAAAAAATTATTAAAATTCATTATAAATATTTTTTTTTAGGAATCCAATAAGAAATGAGGGTACTACATTATTAACTTTCATTTTTTTCATCAATTTATAAATATTGAGACGCTCTTTCCTTGTACAAACTTAAGTTTTAAATTTGCATCACATAAAAGAAAAATCATAGAATTATCATGAATAAAATATATAATTATACATGGACTATAATAAAGAGTAGACTAAATCAATGAAAGAATGGCCATTAAAATCTCGTTTTGGCAAAAAACCCTAATCCGCTAAAAAAACCCAAATTATTACAACCAAACTAACTATAATCCAAAATTATTACAACTTAACTAATTATAATATTATATGCTGAAATTATAATTATTAGTTTACATTTTATAATTATTTTATTAGACAAATTAAAATTAGTTTATAATATTATCTAATTTAAAATGTATTATTGACAACTGTAAGAAAAATAGTACATTACATGTAAAAATTTATAAATAAAACAAAAGATTTGGTTATCAATGTAAAAATTAATAAAATGCGTACAAATTTTTGAAAATAACACTTCAATTTTTCAAAACTTTAATTTTTTAGGTTTCTATAATAAATTTAGTGAAAGAGATTGTTAGTAGAAAGAGGGAGATTTCAAAGAGAATAAACTTTTTATTTTTTATTTTTTTATGCCTCTCATATTATTTACAAAAGTAATTATACCACTATATACAACAAAAATTAACTGCTATACAAAAAAGTAACTTTTTTTTTTTCATTTTTTGATGCCTTTTATATTATTTACAAAAATATTTATACCAGTACATACAACAAAAACTACTATACAACATATATACAACAAAAACTATAAAATATACAACAAAAACTACAAACTGTAACGCCCAAGGGGATTCGACCTTGAGACCTCAAAGCCAAAAACAGAAGTCATAACCATCACGCCGTCTCACTGGATGTGATTATTAGTTGATAGAATATATTTACATTCCTTTTTCATTTTATGATGTTTGGGAATTATCCCACATCGAAGGATGGGTATTCAACTTTGCTTTATAAATACCTATGTAATATGAAGTAAGGTATACGCGCGGAAACATGGGGCAACTTCACACGTGGTATGTGGCACGTGATTTTGTCACACGTGTCCGCTTGTCGCACGTGTTCGCGTGTCCGTGTCGAAGGGGTGGCGTCAGAACCGCCGGTTGATGATGTCATCGGGCGGTTTACTGTTTAAAACCGCCCGGTTCTCTCTAAACACGGGCGGTTCTCGTTTTATGTGTGGAACCGGCTCGTTCTGTGGTGATTCTCGCGTCGAACCAGGCGAGTCCGGCTTGACTCGACGTTTTTTTAAACCCTAGTTATCACTATTGTTGGACTCCTTTTGCAAGTTTTTGCTTTATGACCTTTTTATAACCTTCAATTAAGTCTTTACTTTATCTGTGAAACAAGTCCAAGCTATCCTACATTGAGAGTGTTATATCTTTAAAGTAGAGATGAGAAAGAACGTTTTCCTCAAAATGAGAAAGAAGTTATCAATGTTGCTGGTCTCCTTCCACAAGTCTTTGCTTCATGATCTTCTTATATCCTTTAATTAAGTATTTACTTTCTTTCAAAAACGAGTCCAAACTATCATGCACTGAGAGTGCTATGTCTTTAATATGTCTCTTATTTAATAATTCTTTTCTATTTTGGTGTCAAACTTTTCCCAAATACTCTCAATATTAGACATTAAATCATCATTCCTTACAGGGACCCTTACCACAATGCCCAGGTGTTTCCTTAGATCCATGCAGCAGGCAAGTTCAAGGAAAATTTTGTTGTTGACTTCTCTTAGATGCTGGTTTCTATCGACTAGCTGATCCTGCATGGTATCTAAAAAGTACCCCCAAACTCCAGTGGTTAGATCTCTGGATAAGGATTTTTAGCAACTCACTTTCCTCCGGCTGCAAGACTCCCCCTTAGCCTATGGATGATTAGCATCTAATCGTGTCCATACCTCACCGATTGTCCTTCCGTCATGTGAACACTCTAGCTAGATTACTGGTAAAGCTTCTCCTATGGTTGGGGTAAATAATACTCTTCCCAGAAGCCTGCGAATCTCGAGTATAGATTGAGCTCTTCCTATGGAACATTTCCCACTAGCCTCGTCGAATCATCTCCTTATAATAATGCTATCTAATTTCATTATTATTACTCAACTTTTCTCATTTGTTCTCAAAATCTCCACATAAGGACCATCATCAACAAGGTCTAGGTCAGGCTAGCAAACACAAATGACGCAATTATCCCCTTTCACCACTTTAACAACCCAACACTTCTCGAAAATTGATATGAAGGTGGAATAGAGTCAATTAATTTCATAAATTCCTTCTTCGATTTCCTAAGTCACTCTCCTCTAGTGAAAGAAAACTCAGCCTCGAGTTTTGAAAATGAAATCTATGCCAAATCCACATCCTTCCTTCTTCTCTTTCAGCTCTAAAAGTATGAATGATTGCGAAAATACCTTAAGGAATGGCTCAAAATATGAAGATGGAGGATTTAGTACAAATATCTTAAACTCAACCATCCTTTCATGATATATGGGTTTGCCATTAACATTATCCTCCTCAAAATCCAAACTCTCACCAGAAATTGGATTTCAGGTGGAGAGCAAATTGAAACCCAGGAATATAATTTTTTATTCCATGTTCCCTAACATTTTTTAGTAATTGAAGGATTTTCATTGAACTCTGCAGTAATTGGGGCTACCCAAGGTTGACTAGGAACGAGATGAAAGTCACCTCCTTCAGTAATGTTGCAAAGTTACCTCCTTCCCCAACATTGCCTCATTTTTCAAAGCCGGTCTCCGGATTCCTTTCAGGCAGAAGCTCACCAACTTCATACATGAGTCCATCTACTAGTTTCACCAAAGCTTGGATCGCTTTAGTCAATCGCGAAATAGTTTGCTGCTTTTGATACTACTTGAATCAAATTAGGGTTAATTCTTCACAATATCAACACCTTATTTCACATAAATTCTAATAAACAACAAGCTTTAAGGAGAATTAATGGTAGAGAAGGAAGAAAAAAATCACCAAAGCAAAGAGGAATCCATTCCTGAATTTTATTAACTCAAAGTTATCTAGAAAATGATAATTGATCTCTCTTAAACCCTTCAATAACAAGTAACTCAAAAACTATAAAAAGCTACTACCTAGTCATCCATTCTATTTAATCTAGCTATCCATTGTTAAAATTAAAAAGATATGACTAACCTTGCCCCTAATAAAATTAGAAATAATAATTCCAATAAAAATAAATAAAAACCAACAAAGAACTTCCCCTAAGTCCAATATTGGTTCTGGCTGGGCATGGCTGCATCAGTTCCAATGAAAAAACTAAAACTAGGGAAAACCCTGGGTCAGAAAAAACACAATAAGACTCTCTAAAAGTGTTCATCAACCAACAATAGGGTACAATCAAATGTTACTTGATATAGATATTACGACAAAATCAAGGGGAAACAAGCTATTAGGGCAAGGTACACAAACCTCTGCAACTGCTCGCCTTGCAATGAAGCTTCTGGACCAGAGGCTCCGGTTCACCCTTTTTATTATAAATAGGAAAATGGGGAGAGTATCCAAATTGGAGAAGTCAATGCCTTGTAAGATATAGAGAGAGAGGAAAGGAGAAACAGACTTTTAACAGAGAACGAATATCCATTTTCCCATCCTTAATTGGAAATTGAAAGGAAAATTCCCCACCCTGAAAATAGTAGCTTCCTTTACACAAACCAAGACTAAAAAAAAAAAATGTTAAACAGGCCCGTAAATCTAAGCATTGAGTCTGCAAATCCTTAGAGCTTACCCATGTAGAGAGAGAATATCAGGTCAAATCAAATGAAAACTGAAAACCATCAAAAAATTTAATGATGAAAATCCAAGCCTTGAGCCTGCAATCTTTAGCATTTCCATATCTGGAGAAAATATCAGATCAAAGCTTCATGGATTGCATAGCAAAACAAACAGAAGGAAAAAGACAGGAGCAAAATAGGAGGAGAAAGAAATATGCAGTCGAAGAGGGCGGAGAAAAAGAAGGGTGGATTTTGTTGCTTTGTTAATTGGGACCCTCTGTTTTTCAAATTTCCATTTAAATAAAGCTTAAATAAACAAGGGGATAGCCGTTGTCATTTTGATTGAGATGAGAGAGAGAGAGAGATTTTGATTGAGAAGATTTTA